ACATTTGAATTTTGTACCAAATGTTATATATTGACTATTACACACAAAAAATGAAAAAAAAAATTAAAAGAGAGTGTCGGGACGCCTGTGTGGCTCAGTCGATTAAGCATCTGCCTTCAGCTCAGGTCATGATCCCAGAATCCTGGGATCGAGCCCCACATCGGGCTCCCAGCTCAGTGGGGAGTCTGCTTCTCCCTCTCCCTCTGCCCCTCCCCCTGCTCATGCTCTCCCTCTCTCTCTCTGACAAATAAATACATAAAACCTTTTCAAAATAAAATAAAACTGTCTATATATCCACCCATCCACCTCCCTGATCAGATCCTGATATCTCACCCATTCAACAGTAAACAGAGTAGCTGAGATGAGCAGCCTTGGCATTTATTGAGTACCTACTATGTGCCAGGCACTGAGCTAACCTTATGGCCACCCTCCAAAGTAGGGTCCTATGATTTCCACGTGACAGGTGACAGGATGAGGTGGGTGCTCAGAGAGGTGAATTCACATGTCCAAAGTCACACAGCAAGTCAGGGCAGAACAGCCCAGAATCAGGCCCCCAGCAGGGTCCCTCTGCTCTTCCTCAGGCTTGCCACAAAGCATTGATAAAGCATTCACCATGTACCATGTGGCAGGCCAAGTGCCCGTGTTGCACACAGGACATGTTCAATGCATGCTTCTTGAAGACGAGGTACTACATAAGGACTATTTTTACAGATGGAGGAACTGAGACCAGGGGGTAATGCTCCACAGGCCAGCAAGGGGCAGAGCTGAGGTCCACAGCTAACCACGCTGGCTCTGGCTACCCAGCCCCCAACCACCCAACCTACACAGCTGCCAACGGCCCTCTACCAGCTGACGGCAATCAGCAACAATGCATCTGAGTGCCTACTGGGTACCCAGCTCTCCTCTAAGAGCTTCCCGTGAGTAAACCTGACAGAGCACCCCAAGAACCCCAGGAGCTGGTGCTACTTTTATAGCCACAGGAAAAGGACCACCAGCAAGGCTGGGAGCCACAGGAAGTAGCCCCCGCAAGGAGGTCCCCCATCCACACATGACACTCCAGGAAGCAGACACTGAGGCTGGAGCTAGTCATGATCAGGTTACACGAGCATTCATGATGGGGCCCAGCCCTCACCGCCTGTCCCGTCCTGCCCTCGCCCCCATTTTCTCTGGAGTACATCCACGTGGGCAGGCAGTGGACTCCAGGGCTCAGCTCCGGCCACATGCCTGGGCTGCCCCACCTGGCGGCAGCCCAAGCCACCCCCACCCAGAGACAAAGAAGCCACTGTCTGCCTCTGGGCCCTTCCTGAGACCTCTTCTCACCCTGTGTTCCTTCTGCCCCCTCATATTTTCACCCCGAGCCCCAGAGCACCAGGGCAGAAAGAAACCCAACACGGATAAATGGGATCAGATTTCACGCCACAAATACGGGATACAGGATGAAGTGGGGCCGGGTGCTTAAATATTTTCTGATTCCCGGGTCTAAATGCAGCCCCACCACCACCCCCAGCACTGCACAGTAGCTAAGAACATAGACTCCAGTGCCCTAAGCCCTCCTTGGCTGTGCATTCCTAGGTAAATGACCTCATCTCTCTGTGCCCTGCTTCACCAGCCTGTAAAGTGAGGTTAGTAGGCATTCCTTCTCTACAGGACTGTGAGACCATTACAAAGCCTGGCCCCTAGAGAGGGCTATACACGCTGTGTCAGTTAGCTATCACTCTGTAACAAATTCCCTCCAAAATTACCAGCTGGAAACATTTATTATCTCACAGTTTCTGAGGGTCAGGAAGCTAGGAGTAGCTTAGCTGGGTGGTTCTGGCTCAGGGTGTCTTGTGAGGCTGCAGTCAATGTGTTGGCTGGGGCTGGGGTCATCTCAAGGTTTCACTGGGACAGAATCCACTTCCAAGTTCACTCACGTGGGCTGCCTCCCATCACAGCAGCCAGCTTTTCCCGGAGGGAGTGATCCGAGATAGTACCCAAGATGGAAACCACAGTCTTTTTTATTACTAATCTTGGAAATAATATCCTATTACTTTTGCTGTATTCTATTCATTGGAAGTAAGTTGCTACATCCAGCCCTCACTCAAAGCAGGGGGGATCATATGAGAATGTGAAGACTAGGCGGTTGGGCCATCTTCGAGGCTGCCTCCTATAGAAAAGTGTGTGAAGCCCTGTGTCAGGGAGCTGGAGTCGTCCCAGCTCCTGCCCCATTCCCGGGAGAAACAGCCAGGCACAGATACTCTGGCTCAGTGAGGCAGAGCTGGGGCCTGGACAAGCCCAAGGAAGCCAGGGAAGGGTTCCTGCCATGTGCCACCCTATGTGGAGGCCAGGTCCACAGTGGCATGAAGACCCCACACAGCTTCTATTGTGCCCCCGCAGGGCCCACAGCCTGGTTGGGAGAAAGCAACTCAAGAATTAAAAGGCGAGAAAGCAGACACATAAGAGAATTACAAATGACGGGGCGCCTGAGTGGCTCAGTCGGTGAAGCGTCTGCCTTCGGCTCAGGTTATAATCTAGGAGTCCTGGGATCGAGTCCCGCATCGGGCTCCCCGCTCAGCGAGGAGTCTGCTTCTCCCTCTGCCTCTCCCCCTGCTCGTGCTCTCTCTCTCTCTCCCTCTCAAATAAATAAATAAAATCTCTTTTTAAAAATCATTTTAAGGGGCGCCTGGGTGGCTCAGTTGGTTAAGCGACTGCCTTTGGCTCAGGTCACGATCCCGGAGTCCCGGGATCGAGTCCCACATCGGGCTCCCTGCTCAGCAGGGAGTCTGCTTCTCCCTCTTACCCTCTTCCCTCTCGTGCTCTCTGTCTCTCATTCTCTCTTTCTCAAATATATAAAATCTTAAAAAAATCATTTTAAAAAAGATAATTACAAATGACAAATGGTGCTAGTGGCAACCAGTCTAGCTTTGGAGCCCCACCGCCTAGGTTCAAATCCTGTCCCCACTACTTGCCCCCTGTGTGACCCTGGGCAAGTGACCAAACTACGTTGTGCCTCAGTTTGCTCATCTGTTAGATGGGGACACGAGAGCAGCCACATCACAGGGTTGCTGGGAGGGCTTAAAGAAGTCATGTTTAGCATGCCTGGCATGGAAGGAGCACTCTGTAAATGTTGGCCATTCTGCCAAAGAGCAACAAGGTGGGAGGGCATACAGGGACGCAGTGTCAGGAGAGGGCTCTCTGGGGTGACACTCAAGCCACGGCACGATGAAAAGGAAGAGCAGGAGTGATCCAGGCAAAAGGAAGAGAAAGAGTGATCCAGGCAGAGGGAGCAGCAAGTACAAAGGCCCCAGGGTTGAGCATGTTGAGGAACAGCAAGAAGGCCAGTGTGGCTGGAAGAGTGACAAAAGAAAGAAGGTGGGGAGAGGCCTGGGCGGCTCTGTCAGCTAAGTGTCTGCCTTTGGCTCAGGTCATGATCCCAGGGTCCTGGGATCAAGCTCCACATTGGGCTCCCTACTCAGTGGGGAGCCTGCTTCTCCCTCTCCCTCTGCCGCTCCCCCTGCTTGTGCTCTCTCACGCTCTTTCTGTCAAATAAATAAAATCTTTAAAAAAATTTTTTTTAAAGAAAAGAAAGGAGAAGAGGTTGGGGACATGGTCAGAAACCTCGCATGGTCTAGATTCTAAGGGCAACAAGGAACCATGGGAGAGTGTTGAGTAGGAAAATTCAGCAGAGTCCCCTGAAGGAGGCAACATCATAAGGCATCACCAGGCAAAAGGGTTCAGCATGTTCCAGGCAGAGGGAACATCCTGAGCCTGACAAGGCAAGGTGATGTGAGGGTCAGTTGAACCTATGGAGGTGGGGAGTGGCTAGTGGGCAGATCCTGGCATAGGTCACAGACTAGTGTCCAGCTGGAGGTTGAATCTTTCTCCTGCAGAGGATGGGGGTTGTGGAGGGTGTGTGAACAGACAGCATGGTCAAATCTGCATGTCAGAAAGACTAGAGGTAGGGCCGAGGGCATGGAGAGAAAAGGACGAATTCTAGAAGGTTCAGAACCAATTGGCAGTGGACCTTTCCCCAGCTCCACACCATCCCTGCTGCTCACAGAGCCTGTTAGTTCCCCCACCCCCCCTGAGAGGATCAGCTCGGCCAATCCACAGCAGGTGCTCAGGCATTCCCATGTGGGAGCTGTTACTAAGATTTGCTCTGATGGGAATCCCCAGCAACACCTATTTCACCCCAGGAGGACCCCCAACAGCTTCTTTAAGCAAGCCCCTCGGAGACACCCCAGAGACCTTCTTCCAAGGATACCTGTATACGACACCAAAATCCCCTCGTGAGAAATCACGGTCTCTAGAGATCTCCAAACAAGTCTTGGAATACACAAAAACCTCTCCACAAACCCTGAACCCCTCAAATCCTGCACAGATCCCAAACTCTCAAAGAGCGCCCCGGGCCACAGAGAAACCGGTAAATGGCCCCCAGGAGATACACACCCTTCAGGAACCCTAAAAGTCTCTTACAGATGCCTCAAGAAGCCCTTTCATCCCTCACCCCCCCGCCAGAAAGCCCTAAAAAACCCCAAAGTGTCTTTGCAGCCCCCAAAGACCCCTGGGTCGCCACTGTGGGCCCTTAGGGACCTACCAGAATCCCTGAAGAGCCTCTAGAGGCCTCTCACCGTCACCAAGTCCCCACAAAGACCCCAAATACCCACGGCCTCCCAATCAGCCCCAGCTCTCTGGAACCCCTACCAGCTGCCCAAAGATCCCCGTTACCTTCCAGCCCCCTGAGGTCTCCCAAACAGCCTCTAGAATCTTGAAACTTACTCATCTCCCTCCAGAGACCCTCAAGCCATCCCCTGCAGTTCCCCTCAAGAGACGCCCCCCACCCGTCACTCTTTCAGGCCCCGGCCCCGCCCCTAGCCCCGCCCTCATCTAAGCATCGCCTCCAGTCTCCAAAGCCCCTCTCCCCAAGCCCTCAGGGCCCCCGACTCCGCCCTACAACACCCTCCCTCTGATCACCCGCAAGATGCGCAGCCGACCCGGGCCCAGGCCCCAACTGCACTCACAAGAGGTCCCGCCTTGCGGTCTTGCAGACGATGCGCAGGAAACGCCAGCCGCCGCCGCCCACGTACACGCCGAGCGCCGCCGCTGCGCTCCAGGTCCACGGCAGCCCCAGCAGCCACAGCAGCACGAGCGAGACCACCGAGGCCGAACCTGCCCCGGGAGCCTGCATCCTGGGGAGGCGGAGAGCGCTGAGGCCGCGGACCGCTGGGGCCCCGCCCCACGGCCAGCCGGGCTCCGCCCCCAGGCCCCGGCTCCGCCTCCTCGGAGAGCCCAGGCCGCCCCCTTCGAGCCAGGCCCCGCCCTCGGGCCTGGAATTGGCCCGGTCCCGGACAGACTCCGCCCCCGGATCAGGGCTCCGCCCCGTCCCACGCTGGACACAGGCCTCCCTTTGTGTTCCTAGCCCGGCTCAGGCTTCTTTGCCAATTATTAGGTACAGGCCACGCCCTCAGACGCAGCTCTAGGGCACCGCCAGTCACTGTCAAGCCCTACCCCATGTCTTGACCTAGCGGCTGGACTCGGAACCCAAGCTCCACTCTCACGACTTAGCCCCAGGCCAAGCTCCACCTCGTCCCTACCACAGAGGCCCTTCCCAGTCACTTGACCAGCTTTCCCCCATTGCCTTGACCTAGCGCTGTCCTCGGGTTACAGGATCCACCCCAGTACCCACAGGTCCTGGGCTTTCCTCCCAGTCCGGCTTCTAGTCCTACTCCGCCACTCACTGGGCCCCGCCCCCAGTTTGCCCTCTGGTCCCGCCCACAAACGCACGCCCCGCCCACTCCCAGCTAGGCCCCTCCTCCTAGTCCCGGGCCTGGCCCGCCCCCAATCCCAGGCCCAGGTTCCACCCCTGGCCACTAGCACCACCCTCAGGCTTTGGCCCAATCGTCACCCTCCGGGCCTCCCTCTGGCCCACCTAGAGCCTAGGCCCCTCCCCATCTGCCAGACCAGGCCCGCCCCAAGGCCCTCTTCCGACCTGTCTCGCTCCGAGCTCCTCAGCCTCTTAGCCAAGGCCCTCCCCTTTCCGGAGGCCACGACCATAGAGAGGGGCCCCAGGCCAGAGAGACAACGGCCAACGAGACCCGGGGGCTAGAACGGCCCAAAGAGGGCGTCCGCTGTCTTGGAGACACCCAAACTGCTCCCCCCACCCGCCCCCGCGCGGCGTTTAGAAAACACGTGTGCCCGCAGTCTAGGGGCGTGGCTCCGGGCTGAGCTCTAGATGGCAAACGGATTTCTGCCCCCGGGGTCAGGAAAGTTCTGGTTCACATCCAGGGCCTGTCTGTACTGGATTCTTGCCCTGTTTGTCCTAAATCGAGGCACGGACGCCTGTTGGATCTTAAAAACACATTCCAGGGATCCGGAGAGTCCTAAACAGCCTGGGAGCCCCAGGAGGCTCTAAATCCAAACCCCACCTCAGTCTTAATAATACATTTCAAGGACCCAACTTATCCCAAATCCATATCGCAAAATCTTGCCAAATTCTCAGTTGTAATACCCCAGGAGCCCAGGGAGGGCAAAATCCACACACCAGGTTCCCACCCGCCCACACCCAAAGTCCTAAATGCCCACCCAGAGACCCAAAAGCCCACCTCCTGATCAGGCACGGGCCAGCGCTGGCCTGGCTGCCCACCACCCTGGTCCCCAGCTGACCTGGAGTGGCTCACCAGACCCTCAGTCTTGGCTGCTTCCTCGTGGGTTCCCAGAAGCTCAGGCAGGGACGACGAGGCCAAGACAGAGGACTCCAAACCTAGCTTGAGAAGGTGAGCCCTCCAGAACCTCTATTTCTGCAGACTCCTGGGCCCTGCTCTGCCTGTGCTGTGCGCATGCAGGCCACTGCCTTGGATCCCTCCGTCCAAGCTCCCCCTCCTTTGCCAACCCCTGCCCACTCCACCCCAGCTTGTTTTCTGCCTTGCTTTGGCCGACCTTCTCAGCTCTCTCCTTGGGAGGTGGCCAGGGCCTGCTTCCAGCTCCATTTCGAGGCCAGGGCTGGGCAGGCTCCCACACCTCCCACATGCTACCCTTGGTCTCTGTAGTTGCCCAGGGTTGGTGGAATGGGGGGCAAGGAGGCAGACCTGGAGGACAGGCCCAGAGCCAGCCACCAGTTGGGGCCAGAGTTCAGCAGAGTCAGTAATGACCAGTAACTACAGCTGCACTCTTATCCTGTCAGGTAGCACTGCTGTGCTCACCCCAGTTTACAGGTAAAGAAACGAGGCAGACTGGGGCTGTCACACTAGTTGGAGTTGAGATTCACTCATTCACAAATGTGGGCTGGAGGCTTGCTCTCCCACCTCCCCCCACCTCCTCCCCTTTCCTTCTTCCCTAAACTTTTCCTCCCCCTCCTCTCTCTGACCCTGATACCTCCATTCTTCCCCCTTTCCTCCACTTTCCCCTTTCTTTGCTCCTCCGCCTACTTCTTTCCCCTTCTCTTCTGCTCCGCCCTTCCCCTTACCCCCTCCCCTACCCTCCTGGCTTCCCTCTTCCTCCCTGTTTTTTCCCCTCTCCTCCCTTCCTCCTCCTCCCCTCCCCCTTTCTTCCCTCTCCCCTTCTCCATCCTACCAAGTTTACGGAGACCTCACTAAATAAGTGCCCATGACAATCAAACTCTTCCAATTCTTCAGGTGGTGCCAGGTAGGTGTAGGCAGATAGGGTGAGGGGTTCCCGAAAAAAGAAAGATGAACCATAGCTTTCTTAACACAGGAGAAGTCATTTTAGGTTCCCAGCCACTTTGTGATCTACACCTGACTGGCCCTCATTGCCCAAGCACGTTGTCAAGTCCAATTGCAGAACTTCCTGGGATATGTTCAAATTGCAGAAAAATAGACCTCAGTAGTTAATGATTTTATTTTATTTTATTTTATTAAGATTTTATTTATTTATTTGAGAGAGAGAGAGAGAGAATGAGAGCACGAAAGGGGGTAGGGTCAGAGGGAGAAGCAGACTGCCCGCCAAGCAGGGAGCCCAATGCGGGACTCGATCCCGGGACTCCAGGATCATGACCTGAGCCGTAAGGCAGACACTTAACCAACTGAGCCACCCAGGTGCCCAGTAGTTAGTGATTTTAAAGAAACAAAAGAATGTGAAAATTAACAGCCACTACCAGGCCAGGGGAGAGCCTAACCATCTCAGAAACAATAAATCAGGGGTAAAACTCCCAGTGCTTTTTCAGAAGTAAACGTTGACCCGATACACAGTCTTGAGGCATTGCAGGATTTAAACCCCTTTGAGCTCTCAAAACACTGATGATTTTTGCCCCAGTTCTCTACTGATCTTTCCTTTGCCAAACCCCTTCATGAATATGCATGCACCCTTAGCTTAAAACTTCCCCAATTTTGTCATATGGAGGAGGGAGAGGACACTGCTTTGGGAAATATCCTCGGTGGTCTCCCTACTTGTTGCAAATAAAACCCTTCTTTTTCCCACTCTTTGGCTTGGTTGTCTTCCGGCTGGACACCCACCAGGAGGAGAACCCAGTTTCCAGTGACAGAGGAACCACCTCCCCCTCCCCCCTCCCACGCTGACCCAGTCCACTTACAGTGGTCATTTATCCCTTTGTTTGTTTTTTTAAACTTTTATTTCTTTTTTTTTTTAAGATTTTATTTATTTATTTGACAGAGAGACACAGCGAGAGTGAACACAAGCAGGGGGAGCGGGAGAGGGAGAAGCCAGCTTCCCAAGGAGCAGAGAGCCCGATGTGGGGCTGGATCCCAGGACCCTGAGATCATGACCTGAGCCGAAGGCAGACGCTTAACGACTGAGCCACCCAGGCGTCCCTCATTTATCCTTTTGTATACCTGTTATTCCTTATTTATGCCTTTGCTTAATGGCTCTTCCTAGGACCCCAGCGGCATCATACGATATACAGTATCTTTTACCTTCGGACTACTTTCTTAAGATACAAAAAACTCCCAATTCTGAAATACAACTGTCCCCTGGTTTTCTGGATGAAGCACTGTCTTATCCCCATTTCACAGACATGGAAACTGAGGCCTGGACACGGGGGCAGACTCAGGTTCTACCCTCCAGCTGGTGGCCTTGGGCTGGCTGCCTCTGCCCTCTGTACCTTGGTTGCCCTCTGGGTGATACTGCCTGCCTCCTGGAGCACTGTGCCTCAAATATTCCTTGATCACCACTGCACCATGGTTGATGAGGGGCTTCGCATCTGCAGAATGAATGGGCCAGGAACACACTAGGTATAGGGGCACAGCCAGACATGCATCTCCCTCCCCAGGGTGACCACAAGGGGCTTTAGGCCACAGCAAAAGGAGTTCTTAGGACTTTTCAGAAGGAGAAAAATGAAGCATACATTAAAAGTAGAATACTCAAAGATCATAGCTTGGGGGTTTCACTATAAATAGAACATGAGCACCATGTGGGAGTGAACAATGTCTCTCTGACAAATTCATGTGCCCACTACAAGTAGGGGTGAGTTTCTTCTGGCTGCCATAACAAAGTAGCACAAACCAGGTGGCTTAAAACAACAGAAATTTATTCTCTCACAGTTCTGGAGGCCAGAAGTCCGAAATCAAAGTGTGAACTGCCACAGTCCCTCTGGAAATTCTAGGGGAGGATCCATGCATTTCTTGGCTATGACCACATCACTCCGGTCTCTGCCTCCGTGTCCACATGGCCTTCTGCCTGTGTGTGTCTCCTCTTCTGTCTCTTATAAGGACACTTGTCATTGGATTTAAGACCTACCTACATAATCCAGGATGATCTCATCTTGAGATTCTTAATTACAATTACATCCGCAAAGACCCTGTTTCCAAATAAGGTCACAGTCACAGGTTCTGGGTTTAGGACTTGGACATCTCTTTGGGGGCCACCACTCAACCCACTACAACAGAATAAAGGGTTAGAGTGGTAGTTCTCAACTGCTCCTTGGGGACACTGGGCAATGTCTGGAGACATTTTTAATTGTCACGACTGGAAGAGGGGGTTGCTCCTGGCATCTAGTGGATCAAGGCCAGGGGTGCTGCTAAGCATCCTACAACACACAGGACCGCCCCCACCACAAACAATGAGCTAGCCCCGAATGTCAAGGGTGCCACAGTTTGGAAACTCTGGGATAAACAAAAGCCCCAGTCAAGTTGGACTTGGCCCTGCAGCCCCACACGCATCATTCACTGGATGACTTGGCTTTGAAAATCAGTTTCTCTGAGGCTCTCTGCTTCACCTGCACAATGGAATAAAATCGTACAAACCTGGTAGGGCTGTTCTGAGAACAGGAGCCTGGCACCTCGTAAAGATTATAGGAGCGTTCTCCACTACTGAGATCATTATGCTCTCAGTGCATCTTGCATTCACAACACAGCCGGACTGGTAGGGTGAGGAAAATCTGACCAGGAAATTGTTTCTAAGCAGAATGTAACGAGGACACATTAGGAATGAGCCCATTCACAAAGCCTGGACAATATGAATTAAATCTGGAGAATGAGGATTTTGTGATTTCCTTTTTATTTTTATTTACTTATTTATTTGTTTATTTTATTTTTGGAGAGAGAGAGAACAAGCGGGAGCACGTGTACATGAGCAGAAGAGGTAGAGGAAGAGAGAGAGAGAATTCCATGAGGAAGAGAGAGAGAATCCCCAACACAGGGCTCGATCTCATGACCTTAATATCATAACCTGAACTGAAATCAAGAGTCGGACATTTAACCTACTGAGCCACCCACGTGCCCCATTCTTTTTTATTGTTTAAAGCCAACATGAAGTTCCTTTCAGAGTCTCTCATGTTTTCCTAGGCCTGGAAAGATCCTCTAGACCTGGTGTACTAGTTAGCTATTGCTGTGTAACAAATCACCCCAAACTGGAGTGGCTTCATACAACAGGGATTGACTATTATCAGGACCCCATAGGTTGCCTGGGCAGTCCCTCTGCTGGACTTGGCTGGCTCAGGCAATCTGCTACAATCTGCCAGTGGCTGGACTGGAAGATCACATGTGTGGCAGTTGGCGCTGGCTGTCCCGTGAGCGGCTAGTTCACCTCTGTGAAAATTAATGAAGGGAAATCTCACTGAAATGCAGTTGAAGGCCAGAAGCGGGAGCTCTCCTGCCGGTACCACTCCCACTTCAATTACAGGAAGAGACGTCAATTATAGACCCTTAACAGAAGAATCAACAGGAAGGAATTATCATTCATAGACCCCAACAGGAAACCGTGGACATTGCATCTCCTATTAGAAATTGACTACCCAAGCAACTCCGCCAATGAGGAACCATCATCAGCCTGAACTCCTGCTTCTCCCCAATGGAGTTCCCTTCAAAACAACCCCTCCCAACTTCCTCTTTCTCCATAAAATCCTCTCCTTTGTTTGTTGGACAAGACTATGGTTTTTGCCATAGTTTGCTGGTCCAGAAGTGCAATTCTCTGCTATTCCTGAACAAGCCCATTTTTGTTGGTAAAATAATTGACTATTTTAATTTTAAGGTCAACACCTCCATGTGGCCTCTTATCCAATAGGCTAGAACAGGGGTCTGCAAACTGCAACTCACCAGCCAAATCTGGCTCGCCAGAAGCTGAGAATGGTTTTTACATTTTGGGATGGTTGAAGAAAATCAAAAGAGTAATATTTTATGACACGCAAAAATTCTATGAAATTCAAACTTCAGTGTCTGTAAAGAGAGCTTTATTGGAAGCCAGACACATAAATCCATTTACATATCGTTCAGAGCCACTTTTGCAAGACAGTGGCAGAATTCGAAGTTGCAAGAGACCCTATGGCCCACAAATCCAAAAGTATTTATTTATTTTTTTTTAAAGATTTTATTTATTTATTTGAGAGAGCGAGAATGAGAGAGAGAGAGCACATGAGAGGGGGGAGGGTCAGAGGGAGAAGCAGACTCCCCGCCGAGCAGGGAGCCCGACGCGGGACTCGATCCCGGGACTCGATCCCGGGACTCCAGGATCACGACCTGAGCCGAAGGCAGTCGCTTAACCAACTGAGCCACCCAGGCGCCCCAAAAGTATTTATTACCTGGCTCTTTATAGAAAAGCTTTGTCAACCCCTGGGCTAGATCAGCTTCCTTACCTGGGGCCTCTGGAGGCAGCCTTCCAAGAGAATGAAAATGGGAAGCGAGGATAAGACTCATCCTCCAAACTCACACCTCACACCACATTCTCTTGTTCAAGCAAGTCATGAAGCCAGCCTAGATCCAAGGAAAGGGGAACTAGTCTCCATCTCTTGATGAGAAGGGCTGCAAAGTACTGTGGCCATGATTTTCATCCTTACAAAGGGATCTTAAGGTGGGCTGTCCCAACTGAATTCAGGAGGGTGGAGAAAAAAAAAAAAACACCCACAGATTTATTTTCATTAACTTCTATTGACCTCAAAAATAAAGTTTGCTAGCAAAAACAGATTTTGTTTGGAAATAGCAGAAAATTGTGATTCGGGAGAAGCAAACTACAGCAAAAACCGTAGGCTATTTCAACAAAGAAGATGAACGTTATTTTATGGAGAAGAAGGGAGGAAGTTGGGAGGGGTTGTTTTGAAGGAAAGTCCACTGGAGAAAAGCAGTTCAGGGTGATGATGGTTAATTGGCTGAGTTGCAGGGGTAGTTGACTTATTGTAGGAGATGCAATGTCCCTCTTTTTCTGTTGGGAGTTGGAACTGATCATTCTTTCCCGTGGATTCTTCTATTGAAGCTCTGAAATTGACCTTTCTTCCTGTAATTGACTGGGAGTAGTATGGTGAGATCTCCCCCTTCTGGCCTGCCATCTCCCTTTTAGAAAGTTTCCCATTATTAATTTTAACACTTCTCACTGGAATGTAGCATGTTTTTCATGTCCTGTCAAAGCAGGTAGCAGCCAGCCCTGTGACTTTGTCTCCTGTGGAAATTAAAGATAATTTCACATCACATCCTGGCCATTGCAGGCAGGCATCTCAAAATACCATTTATCACAATAGAAGTCACAATCATTTGTAGAGCCCTGGTGAATCAAGATTACTTAACCCATTCAATTCGTGAGGAAGCACATATATTTTACAACACAACTTAATAAAATATTTTCACACCCATATGTCAGGATGACTGTTTTCCTTTGCAATCCTGTGCTTTTTCTTAATGGATTTCTAGCTGTCTCCAGAGAAGGAGCCCATGGGCAGCCTGCCCCTACCCTCGGAGGCAGCACAGAATCAGGCCGCAGTTTAGGCAGATTAGTGAGGTCCTAAACCGGCCTCCTAAAGATACCTAATCCCAGACCAGCAGCCAGCCAGCAGGCCCAGGGCCACACAAAGTCCCTTGGCCGTGTCCCCAGCTCTCAGCCAGGGCTGCCATGGCCTCCCTGTTCTCCGGCCACGTCCTGATTCGCAACAACAGCGACCAGGATGAGCTGGACACGGAGGCTGAGCTCAGCCGCAGGCTGGAGAACCGGCTGGTGCTGCTCTTCTTTGGCTCTGGGTCCTGCCCGCAGTGCCAAGCCTTCGCGCCTACCCTCAGGGACTTCTTTGTGAAGCTCACAGATGAGTTCTACGTGCTGCGGGCAGCCCAGCTGGCTCTGGTGTACGTGTCCCAGGATCCCACGGAGGAGCAACAGGATCTGTTCCTTAGGGACATGCCGAAGAAGTGGCTCTTCCTGCCCTTCGAGGATGACCTGAGAAGGTGAGGTGGGAGAAGAGGTCGGGGAGGGCTTCCCGGAGGAGGAGCTATTTCTGCTGAAAGGTTTGTTTATTGTTGCCTCTGTTCCATCTGGAATTGATAAGCACGTCCTGTGTGCCCGACCGTACCCAGACGGGGTGGGGAGGGGGCCACCCAGGGGGGTGCATATGCTCATTTCTATTTAGCTCCCAAGGAGCTTACAATCTAGTTGGGGAGACAGACGTGACACAAAGACTCAAACAAATATATAATAAGAAACGGCAGTAATGGTCCAGAGGACAAAGAAGGATGCCATGTGGAAATATAATGGGGAGACCTTGCTGAGGTTTGGGGTCAGGGGATGCTTCCCTGAGGAAGTGGCTTTAAAGAGAGACCCCAAGGCCAGGGAGGATAGGAAAGAGTGAGGAGAGGGAAGGGTTTCCAGGTGGAGGGCACAGCACAGATAAAGGCTGGGAGGCCATCAGAGAAAGACAGCCAGTTCAGGGAACTGTAAGTAATACCAAATGGGAGAGGTCTGCAAGCATCGTGTGGAGCAGCGCCACAAACCCCATCTTAACGGGAGTGGATGCGATCCTCAGAGTAGCTGGGAGCCAGTGAGGAGGGCCTTGGAGCTGAGAGAGAGGTGGGTGGATTCAAGCTTTGCACCCAGCTGCCCAATAAACAAAACTACAGCTGGTGGCTATCTTAGGACCTTCCCTTTTTCCGCAGTAAGGCGTCCCTTCTTTTCATTTATTTTTTTAAAGTTTTTAGATTTTATTTTATTTTATTTTTTTAAGATTTTATTTCTTTATTTGACAGAGAGAGAGCACAAGCAGGGGTAGAGGCAGAGGCAGAGGGAGGAGCAGGCTCCCCACTGAGCAGGGAGCCCCATGCAGGGCTCGATCCCAGGACCCTGGGATCATGACCTGAGCCGAAGGCAGCCACTTAACCGACTGAGCCACCCAGGCGCCCCTAGATTTTATTTTTAAGTAATCTCTACACCCAACATGGGGCTCAAACTCACAACCCTGAGATCAAGAGTCACACGCTCCTCCGACTAAGCCAGCCAGACGCCCTGGCTTTCCTTCTTTTTAAACTCGAACTTTTCATTATGAAAAATGTCCAAGATCCCACAAGCTGGAAAAAGCATGCAATGAAACCCAGAGCAATCTGGGTTAACATTTTGCCATATTTGCTTTATCTACACACATTGGGAGCTTGCACGGAGCCATTTGAAAGTGAGTCGCAGGCTTTCTGACACTTTACTGATTTCGTTAATTTTGCTCCACAAGTTGGAAGTTTCTAGAGACCTTCATCCTGCACCCAGCATTATCAGAGTTTGGACTCACGCCTTCTGCCCTCTCTGCCGCTGAGGGGGATCTTTCCTGCAAACTGGCAACATTTCCCTTCCCAGGGCAGAATGAAGCTGTGAGGGCATCAGAGCCAAACTCGGACCTGCTGACCTCGTTTGAGGCAG